AATAACAATAGTATATTAATTGTTAAAGATTTCATCTCTTATAAGTATTTTGATAAATTTTTTTAACAAATGAATAAATAAATAATAATAACCATTAACAATAGTAACAAATATCTTGATTAATAATTTTTCAAGTTCAAATGATATTGATATAATTGTAAAATAGGTCATAATGTTAAAGAATTTTTTTTTCTTCACGTCTAAATTGATAGAGTGGTATCTACGAGGGTAAGATTGGTTTTAGGCAACGGAAAAGAAAGGGAAGGAAAATGTTTGTATAATAAAATGATCAAATTTATAAAAAAAAAACAAAAAAAACCATAATTCAAGGGCTAACAGTCCCAAATTTTTAAATTTGAGGAGGTACAATGGATTTTGGTGAACCCAAGGGGCTAATAGAGATGGAAGTTTCGAGAAGAGAGTTAACAGTCATTTTTCCTATTATATTATATATAATATGTTATTATATTATAAATAATATATTTATTATATTAAATAAATATTATATTTAAATAAATATTATATATAATATAATAAATAATAATATAAATATTATATACATAATATACAAATATTTTATATTATATTATGTTATATATTTATATGGTTAATATGTATATGTTTTCAAACACAGTACCCAAAATTTATTTAAACCTCTCAGATCAAAACATTCACTTTCTAAAAGATTTAAAAACATTCAACTTTTCAGAAGATATCTTTCAGAAAAACAAACGTGCCCTAGAAGAAATTGTTTGATATCCAAATATCCTCAAATTGATTATCTCGACATTAAGATGCATAAACATGCGGAACAAAATGGATTTTAAAATTTGAAAATAGTGCATCTTGTAACGTATTTTTAGACCATTAATATTCAAGATTTTCAACTTTTCATAAATCCTCTTGATCTACACTATTTTTGAAGCTTTAAATTCTATAATTAAAGATAAAACTATATTTTAAGACTATCACAAATATTCAGTATTGAAACCACATTTCTCGACACAATTTGAAGGTGCGCTTTACTTTGATGGTTTATAACCTCGTCTCTGTACAAACCACACCTATTTTTTAATCAACTTACACCTAAGATTTGAACAATGTTAAATGTTACCAATGTTCTTTAGACAAGGATTATATGAGCCATGTAGATCTATTTTTGAGATAGATTTTGAATCTAATTTTTTAAAGATATATAGTCTCCAACATGGGGATCATTAATATGTAAAATTAATAAATTTTTTGTTAAAAAAGTAATTTTGGACTTTTTAGTTTTGATCTAAGAAAGGTAATGATATTAAATTTAATGATATTAAATTTACTCTTAACTCATCCCAAGTCTGAATGAAGGAGGTGAGTTGCGTTAGGTAGACAACCATCTTATCATGAATTTTGTACTCTTAATTTTATTTTTTTTTGGCGGGATACCACTCTTTTGCATCCATCTCTAAGATGGATGCTTGGTGTCAAGGCGCACCAGTATCGAATTGTCCTCTGGCACATAATAACTTTCCTTCTCTAATTTCAAATTCTTTTTGTCAAATTCTAAATAGTATGTCAAATTGAGTTTGGAATTTATCAAAATACAGAAGGAAAATGTTAATAGTTGAAATTGTAAGTGCATCTGATAAATTTCACATCTTTTTGTGCGTTGAAAAATGAAATGCAGTCAATTATTGTTGAGAAATCTTGTCTCAAACCTTGATTCCTTGTGCACCCACGTGTTCCCAAAACACCCATTGTACCATTGAATAGAGATAGACTACGATTGAGGAAGAAATTGATGTAACTCCGGCATAAACCATAGCCACACACAAATCTCTCTCCTCCCAGCCATGGGTGATGCTGATATGCACACCAGCCTTTGGGCACTAGATGGCCATTCCGTTCCTATTTTTACCCATGTAAGCCCTAGGTGACTCCGGACTCTGTTACGGCCGGGCCGGAGTCAACTCAGCGAGTCTCCGGTAACCTCGATGCGTTCAATTCGTTTCGGTTTAAATGGTATTAAATTTTTTAAAAAAGAGACTGATAATATAAAAACAAATTTAATGCTATGATATTTCAAAAAAAAACACAAAAATGTTACAAACAAAGATGAAAAAATATAAAACTTGTAGATATGAATGGATTCATCTAATAAATGGCCAGATAACGATATTGTGGTCTAAACCAGAGTGTGTAATAATCAGCAGTTTATAAGAGATTCTAATTTCAAAATTACAAATGTGCAAGTTAATTACTCAATCTAAAGCCAATGTGAATGACAGAGTGGCTCAAAGTCATTTCGAGCTCCATCATCCCAATTATCTCCGAGATTGTCAGTTTGGTAACTCCTGCAGCCCCCCATAACCAAAGACCACAAGACCAATCCACCCCTCGTGGTCGTTCCCCGCCGAAACCCCGAGCCATTTGGTGC